TGTTATCCTTTCAAAATTACATACAAACGTAAAAATACAAACAGTATTTTGGTGTCACAGATCACAATTCAATATTCAAAACTTTAGTACACCCGTATATTTCAGTTCGTCCAAAAACTTCCAGAAATGGAGTTTCATAATGTTGACGGGAAATGTTTCCAATTATTATAAACACATACAGTAGGGTTAGATATACATTTATTTAATGAGAAACTTTTTTCCGTTTAATATTATTTAAGTTAGAGGCAAATTAGTGTGTTGTCATACTACTGTTTTCAGCTCTGAAGAACTCACAAATCTGTAACTACAAACAGCGCCGAACAGGGACCACATGTTACGTTTGAGAATATCTCAGTTACGAAGATATGTGAGATTATATACGATGCAATGATATTTACAGACAAATTTGAATTTTGATGGTTTTTTGATGACGTTTTGTCATATACATAATTTATATTAAAATCATATTTCTTATGAAGTAATAATGCATGATAAACCTCGAACAATGTTATCCTCTTGAAATAACATAAAAATGTTAAAATACAAATAGAATTTAGTTGCACAAATATCAGATTGAAAAAATCAAAACATTAGACGATCCGTTCATTATAGTTATTATAAAAACTGTTAGAATTTGTGGTTCATAAAGTTGAAGGGAAATATTTCAAATTATTATACACATGTATATTTAGGTTGGATATTAATTGCTTTAAAGTAGCACTTTTGTCCGATTAATATTATGTAAGTTACAAGCAGATTACTGTGTTGTGATATTATGCGTTTTCAGCTGTGAATAGCACAAAATTATGTTTCAACGATCTTCGGCGTGCAGCCACCACAGAGTTCGCTGGAAATTATCGCAGAAATAAAGATGTGTGTGAATATATACGATGCAATATTATCTACAGACAGACTTGAGTGTTGATGGTTGTTTGAAGACGTCTTATCATATACATGTTTTATATTAAAAACACAATTCATTTGAGCTCTTCAAGCATGATGTACCTCGAACAATGTTATCCTTTTAAATAACATATAAACGTTAAAATACAAACAGAATTTAGTGGCACAAATATCACATAGCAAAAATTGAAACATTAGACCATCCGTACATTTCAGTTTGTATAAAAACTGTTAGAATTTGTGGTTCATAAAGTTGAAGGCAAATAATTCAAATTATTATAAACATATATATTTAGGATAGATACTAATTGCTTTCAAGTAGCACTTTTGTCC